GGATACCTGAATGATTCCAACAGAACTGGTTCCCTTCTAGAGCCAAAGAAAGCAGGAAGCCAGCTCTACAACAGAAGGAACACAGTTGCAGGCATGAAATTATCTTTGAATTCCTACACAGCCCAATGTGAAGTATCCGTACATGGCCACTTCGATCCTTGGGGGGGAAGGGGGGGGGCACACAGAGATTGATGCTTTAGATAGAGAGACCCAGGGTGGACAAGTATCTGGCACTCAGCTGTATATCTGATGCCTTACTGAGAGTTCTGGCCAGAACCTTAGGGACTATCGCAAGCCTACACTACAAGGATGGGGAACTGAAGTATATTTCAATCATGCAAGGCCTGAAGCCTGCAAGAGAAGCCCTTCTATTTTCAAGCCCCAGTGCTCTCTCCTTTCCACACCAAGAAAAACGTAAGCTTATATAAAGAGGAAAAGTAACAAGACATATATTAAAGCATTCAGTTCTGTCTTATACTTCCAGTAATATGTTTTTATTTTCCTCTTTTCTCAGGGTAGTAGTGGGTCAAAGTGTAGAGACAATGTAAGGAAGGGGTTTGTTGGATGGAAGTCAACACAAATTAAAAGTTCACCAGGAGCCAGGTGCTGGGGGTTCACACCTGTAATCCTAGCTACTCAGGAGGTTGAGATCTGTGGATTGTGGTTCAAAGCCAGCTCAGCCAGGAAAGTTCATGAGACTCTTAACCTGCAATTAATCACCAAACAACAAACAAAATGAAAGTGAAGCTGTGGCTCAAGTGGTAGAACACTAGCCTCAAGTTGAAAAGGGATAGTGCCAAAGCCCTGAGTTCAACTCTAGGACAGGCAAAAAAAAAAGAAAAAGTTCACCAGGATCTCAAAGATCACTAGTGATAGGATGTAATTCTTATGAACTTTTGTCAAAGCCCCAGTCTACTTCAATATATTGAGATGTAATGATTTTGATACTCATATGTACGTTTCTCCCCTCTTCCTCCTCTTCCTCTTTTTCACTGGGACAGGGATTTGAACTCACTGTCTCAATAGTCTCACATACTTTTCTTGACCAGGCTGGCTTCAAATGACAATGCATTAAGTTTTAGCCCCTCTGAGTATCTAGGATTACTGATGTGAACCACCAGCACCCAGCTTACATGTCTTCTTTATCAAGAGGGCAGTCAGATATTATGACACTTACTGTAATCCTAGCTACTTTGGAGGCTGAGACAGAGGATCACTTGAGCCTATTAATTTGAGACTAGTCAGTGAAATTCCCATCTCAAACAAAAACAAAAAGACAAAAATGGAAGGCAGCTAGAAGCTACTCATCTATTTCAAAGTTGAACTGTTCAATGCTATTCCAACCACTTGTAAACATTTTGCGCTCCCAACTAACATTCTAAAGAATTATCTAATGACATCAAGGCCAGCCAAATGAGGCTGGTTTACACCCTAACAATCAAATGTGGAAAACTGTTCTGTTTGTTTATTAACAACTCTAAGAACAAAGCATGCCTCTCTTCTTCTTTCCATTGTACAAAGTTTTATGAGACAAAAGGCAAGGTTTTGTTTTTAAAATAAAGCCACAAAATAACTAATAAACTAATGGCCACCACTCAAAAGCAATAATAGCCTTATGATTTCATATCCCAGTTAGCCACCAAATTGGAAAACACCATGTATTTTTCTCTCTCCCCAAAGAAAACATAAAATAAATGTCAACAGTCTGGTATACTTTCTTCCTTATCTAGCAAGTAAGTTAAACAGTATCTTATTCTCTGATTATGGAATGAGGCAAGGTTATACATTGGTTTCAGAGCTGACTGATTTAAAACATATCAAATGTCTCCAGCAAACTTCAGAGACAGTAATCAGAGAATATTGTCTAAAGAAAAACCTCAAATCCCTACTGTTTGTTTAGTTGATTTAGTACTAAGTAAGCTATAATATGAAGAACAGCCTTCCAGGCTCAAGTTTCTGAGGTAAGCATAACTGAGAAATCTATATGTTAAGAAAAAAGGGGGAAAGCCAGCACTTGTGACTTACACCTAAGCATAACTGAGAAGTCTTTATGTTAGGAAAAAAGGGGGGAAAGCCAACATTTGTGACTCGCACTCATAATCCTAGCTAATCAGGAGGCTGAGATCTGAGGATCATGGTTCAAAGCCAGCTTGAGCAGGAAAGTCTGTGAGACTCTTTTCTTCAACTAAACACCAAAAAGTCAGAAGAAATGAAGTTATAGCTCAAATGGTAGAATGACAGCCTTGAGCAGAATAGTTTAGGGACAGCACCCAGTCCAAGTTCAAACACCATGACCAGCACAAGAGAGGGGGGAGGGAGGGTACGGAACTGGCTTGCAAAATGTTCAGTACAGACTACAAATGTAGGTATTTGAATAGCCAGTCTTGTATATCACTAGTGGTTTATCTGCTGAACACAGTATTCATCCAGAAAAACACCAAATTCTCTCTACAACAATGATGAAGTCATTTAGTAGTATAAGTTACTTTTGCTCTGAGTTTTAGCTCTCTAAGACAAATGGAAAGACATGTCTTCCTAAAATGTGTCTTCCTAAAGTCTACAGCTGGAAACAGTATTGACTCAGGATATCCTCAAAGAGCCTTGTGTCACAACAAAGCTTTCTTCTCCTTTATGGGCTTTTTAGTATCACCTTCCAAGACGTTCAACCTGTATTTCTTTTTTTCTTTTCTTTTCTTTTTAATTTGGTGCCAGTTCTAGGATTGAACACAAGACCTGGATACTGCCTCTGAGCTTTTTTGCTCAAGGCTAGCACTCTACCACTTGAGCCACAGCTTTTTGAGCAAGCAGCTTTTTGGGAGTTAATTGGAGATAAAACTTTCCTGCCTGGACAGGCTTTGAACTGTAATCCTGAGATCTCAGCTTCCTGAGTTGCTAGGACTACAAGTGTAAGCCACTGGTGCCTGGGCAACTTATTTTTCTTTTTCATTTTTTGCCAGTCCTGGGACTTGAACTCAGAGCCTAGACATTGTCCCTGAGCTTTCGCTCAAGGATAGCACTCTACCACTTGAGCCGTAGTGCCACTTCTGGCCTTTTCTGTTTATGTGGTACTAAGAAATTGAACCCAGGACTTCACGTATGCTAGGCAAACACTCTATCACTGAGCCATCTCCCCACTCTACCACTAAGCCACATTTTCAGCCCCCAATCTACCTTTCTATCATTAAGAAACAAATAGTTGGGTGGCTCATATCCGATATTTGAGGATACCAGTTTGAACCAGCAAAGAACTGGAAGTGAAGGTGTAGCTCAAGTGGTAGAGCACCAGCTTTAAAAGGCAAGTGAGAACTCAAGACCCTAAATTCAAGCCCTAGCCCCAGTAGAAAGGAAGGAAGGGAGGGAGGGAGGGAGAGGGAAAGAGAGAAGAGAGAAGAGGGAGAGGGAAGGGAACAGAGAAAGAGAAAGAGTACGAGGAAGAAGAAAAGAAGAGAACTGTGTGCAGGTGACTTCAGAGTAGAACTCCATTGCCTTGGGAATTCAAGGTAAAATAATAACTATGGATGGACCCAAATTAACAACAAAAATCACAAGCCCCTCTCTACAGTTCCTCCATAAATCACATTTTCACTTTCTTCCTCTATTAAATTCTAGAATTTCACTAGGGGTAGTAAACAAATGACTAGCAAATTCCAACAATCTGGACTAAGGTTCAGAGGAAAGGATGCCAAAAGCTGAGACACAGTGAACACACATTACTTTGGAGACACATTGCATATTACTTTGGTTTTTCCTGAATTATTACCAGTATCAACAAACAGAAATACTTGGGACATTCACACAAAGGCAGTTAAAGACCACACATCACACCAACTTTCTCAAGTCACATTTAATTTTGTACTGGCACCTACCACAAGTGTGCGGGGGAAACAGCACCAGCACAGCTTCTTTGTGTGCTATCAGGGAAAAATTTCAACTTTAGCTTTTCCTTACTCTTTGATAAGCACCCTGTAAAGATAAATTATATATCCAAAAGGACAAACTACTCTAGTCTTTTGGGTAGGCAAGGTACTTAACATGTGTCATGTAGAGAACAAATGTTCTTGTAAACAAGGAGGCTCAAAATTAACCTACAAACCACGAAGATTTTGTGCCCGTCCTGGGGCCCAGGCACTGTCCCTGAGCATTTTTGCTAGCATTCAACCACCTGAGCCACAGCTCCACTTCTGGCTTTTTTTGGTGCTGAATTAGAGATAAGAGTTTCAAGGACTTTCCTGCATGGGCTCAGTTCAAAACCAGGATGTTCAGATCTCAGCTTCCTGAGTTACTAGGATTCTAAGCAGATAAACCACCCATGCTTGGCTAAGAAACTTATTCATAAACTGCTGTGCAATTAGATTTTAATAATGAGTAATCACTCAAGTTTCTCTTAAGAAAACCAAAATCTGGCATATACAAGAAGTAGAATCTTATTCAGTTTTCTCACAAAGAGTAAAAATGCAAAGACATATTTCTAACCTCTTGAAACTGGGAAAATTAATTTCTAATCTGCTAGGACCATATTATAGAATGTAAACTCTTGGCTATGTAAAATAAGACGAATGGAATAGTATTACATATAAATATTCAATGTAAGGAAACTGCCACATGGTTCAGACAGACCTTACACTCAAGTTTAAGTCTAAAAAAATCCTGACCTTTTTCTTTTTTTTTTTAATGAAAGGAAAATCAGTCTACTCATAGCACTCCTGTCTACAATCCTATTGCTTTGACTTTTCCTAAATACTAGCAGTATCAACAAACACTTGGGGCATTCACACAAAGGCAGTCAGAGACCACACATCACACCAACTCTCTCAATCACATTTCATATTCTACCCAGCATCTATTGTATGCTATCTGAGCAAACCTGATGATAAATGTTACAAGTGTGCAATGTAAACAGCACCAGCAAGCTTCTTTGTGTGCTATCAGAGTGAAAGAAGGCAGCTGAGCACAAGGAGAGGCGATTCTCAGCATGCATTGTGCTTGGCACCAACACTTACCTTAAGGATGTCGCCCCTTTTGAAGCTCAGCTCATCGTCTGCAGTAGCTTTGAAGTCATATTTGGCGATGGCTTCCATTCTGAGCGCTGCTTGGTGCTCAGCAGCCAGAAGCAGGGGGGAAGGGAGTCTTCCCGGCTGAAGCAACCCAGCGCTCCGGGCTCAGCCTCGCCTCTCTTCTGGGACTACTCCAGCACGCTGGGACACACAATGCCACCCTGAATCAGAAGATCAGAAGACCGACGATTAAGAGAAGTAGCCGGGATAGGGCAGCCCCGCCCTGCCAATAGGCCTGCTATCCCAGCCCCCACGCCCCCTGGCTCTGCCCCACTCAGCCCTCCACCTCCCTTCCAGGCAACAGCTTGTTTCTCCTCCTTCCTCTTTTCAGTCCCAGCCCTTAGGCGACTGACAGGCCCAGCGGCCAATGGCAGCAGCTGCTAGAGCTATTCCAGAATACACTTCCTCTTTCCGCTGGGTGTGCAGGGTGAGCAGGAACCGGCTGGAGTCCGTTCAGCCTCTGCCTTTCTTCCTCACACCTCTTCTCAGGCACCCAGGGCAGTACACTGAAATAAAGGGCCACCCTGGGGGTGGCACCTAACTGGGTCAAACAGACATAACTCCTTCAGTCTCCACCAATACTCAGGTTTCTTAGGAAACCCCACCCCCCAGTCAATAGCAAGCCATGAAGACTGGGCTTACAATGTTTCACTCTATTCAAACAAAATCTTGATGTGTCCTCAAAGTATCAAGAGAAAGCAAACTGCTTTTTAACTCTATTTACTACCAGTAACAGTAGTGCCTTGCCCTACCACATCCAAATAACCATAAAAACCAGAGCAAGACAGCTAGTGGAGATCTCCTTCTGCCTAATGCTCCTTTCCCCTGAAAACTGCCAAGACTTGGAGGTCTTCCTTATGCTTGAAACAGATAACCAAAATTCAGTAACCCAGCGATCTACTGAACAAGAGGGTTGAAGACCTAATCTAAACTCGAAAGATGTCCCTTTTAAAGAATGGCTGCTGGCTGGGAAGGTGGCTCAGTGGTAGAGCGCTTGCCTTGCATGCCAGAGGCCCTGGGTTCGATTCCTCAGCACCACATAAGCAAAAAGAAAAAAGCCGGAAGTGGCGCTGTGGCTCCAGTGGTAGAGCGCTAGCCTTGAGCTGAGAGCTGAGGGACAGCGCCCAGACCCAGAGTTCAGGCCTACGACCGGACCCAGAAAAAAAAAAAGAAAAAGAAAAAGAAAAGAAGAAAGCCGGAAGTGGCGCTGTGGCTCCAGTGGCAGAGTGCTAGCCTTGAGCTGAAGAGCTGAGGGACAGTGCCCAGGCCCAGAGTTCAGGCCCCACTACTGGACCCAAAAAAACAAAAACAAAAAGAACGGCTGCTAAGTATCTTGTCTAGCTAGTATAGGAAAGTACACCAACTGGTCAAAACCTTGCCCAAGGCTGGGAAGGTGGCTCAGTGGTAGAGTGCTTGTCTTGCATGTATGAGGCCCTGGGTTTGATTCCTCAGCACCACATAAGCAAAAAAAGCTGGACATGGAGCTGTGGCTCAAGTGGTAGAACGCTAGCCTTGAGCTGAAGAGCTGAGGGACAGCGCCCAGGCCCAGAGTTCGGGCCCACGACTAACCCCCTACTGCATCCCACCCACCCTCCCCCAAAAAAACTTGCCCAATATGTGCAGGCCCTGGGTTCAATCCCCAGCACTGCAAACAAACAACAACAACAACAACAAAAAACCTATTAAAACAGTTACCAAGCTGGGCACCTGTGGCTCATACCTATAATCCTAGCTACTCAGGAGGCTGAGGTCTGAGGATCACATTCAAAGCTGTTAGTATTATGCTCACCTTTGGTCCTCAGCTCCACCCAGACCTGGGCCCCCTCCCATTCCTGGAGTTCCCGCCGTACAGCTGGCCCCTCCCTCTCTCCACCTCACTTCTGACCTTCAGTCCCTCCAGCTACCTGGATAGGGATGGGGGCCAGGTGCTCCTCTAATAAACCTTATAATAATCTTTCTCCTGTGCCTGCCTGCCTCTGCATGGTCCCCTGGGATAGATGTGTGGGACCCTTCATTAGTGGCCCTCCAGCCCCGGCAGGAAAGTCCTTGAGACAAGATCTCTAATTAATCACAGAAAAAGCTAGAAGTGGTGCTGTGGCTCAACTGCTAGCTTTAAGCAAAAGGAGCTCAGTAACAGTGCCCAGGCCCTGAGTTCAAACTCTAGGAAGGGCAAACAAACAAACAAACAAATAGCTACCCATAGTACCTTAGCTTAGCTTCTCTTTGAGTTGAGAAGCAGTAAGCAGGCAAACTGCATTCTGCAGGTGAAAGATTCTGTCACTTTAGTCAGTATCAGATGACAGAACTGCAGGAGTGAGCGGGACACAACCTCCACCCTAGCATACCTACAGGAAAATAAAGCCTCATTCTTGTTCCCAGTCTCAGTCTTCACTCACGCTAAACAAAACCAGAAAACAAGGGCACTAGCAGAATGGGGACGTGTTATTTATAGTGGCACCTTTCTCAAATAATTACCACTTAGCAGCTCATTTGAGGGGCACGAGTGATTATTATTCTTTTGTTCTAAAGTTAACAATTGGGGCATTAATCAAGCATAGCTGCAAATAGGCTATCCAGTAAACCAGCTGGGAATATTCAGATTGGAGAAGAGTAGTATGTAGGAGGAAAGAAATTGTGTGGTAAAAAGTCCTCAGGCAAATTTGAAAACCTACCATTCTGCTCCAAGAATTTAATAAACCAAGTCCATGTTTATTCTTTCAGGCCGTACTTAAAATATTCTATGTGGTGTTGGCTGTAAAGAAGCATGTAAAGAAAGAGTTCCAGCAAATATTTAAATATTTTAGAAACACAAAGATTAGTCTGAGTATTTTTGTTGTTGTTGTTGGTTGTGGGGCTTGAACTCAGGGCCTAGGCGCTGTCCCTAAGCCTCTTTGTGCTCAAGGCTAGCATTCTACCATTTGAGCCACAGCGCCACTTCTGGTGATTTTTGTTTGTTTTTTGGTCAGTCTCGGGGGTTGAACTCTGGGCCTGGGCGTTGTCCCTTAACTCTTCAGCTACCACTAGAGCCACAGTGCCACTTCCGGCTTTCTGGTGGTTAATTGGGGATTAAGAGTCTCACAGACTTTCCATCTAGGTCTGGCATTGAACCATGACCCTCAGATCTCAGCCTCCTTAATAGCTAGGATTACAAGCGTGAGCCACCAGCACCCGGCCTGAGCATTTATTTTTATGGAGCATCAAATTCCCATCTTAATATCTATAGTTATTTTTAGCTAACTAATGCATATGTACAATTTTTAGAAATGAGAATATGAAGGCTTATCAGAAAAACAATTCCCTAGCAATATCCACAGCTTTTTCTTTTCTTTTTTTATGAGGCTTGAATTCAGGACTGTGGCACTGTCTCTGAGCTCAGCTCTTTTGCTAAATGCTAGCACTCTACCACTTTGAGCCACAACACCACTTCTGGTTTTCTGGTCATTATCTGGAGGTAAGAGTCTCAAGGACTTTCCTGCCCAGGCTGGCTTTGAATTGCAATCCTCAGATCTCAGCCTCCTAAGTAGCTAGGAGTATAGGCATGAGCCACCAGCACCCGGAAGCCTACTAATTTTAACTGGTTTTCAGGACTGATTGTTGAGACTAACCATCTTTGATGGGAAACAGAAGAATTGACTGAACAGACATGCAAAATCAACGAGTTCCATTATTTTATTTGAGGTGGGCGGCAGTAATGGGGTTTGAACTCAGGGCCTTGCGCATGCTCGGCTGTCACCATACTGCTAAGCCACACCTCCAAGACTGTTTTTTGTTGGCTTATTTTGATTACAGCATCTTATTAACTTGCTGCCACCTCTGTAACACACCTGAACAGCAATCAACCTACTTTTAGGCTTCCTGTCCTTGCTGAGATCATAGGTATGTGCTACCACATCCAATTTCCCTCAGTGAAACTGGAGTCTTTCTGCTGGGCTGGCCTGGCACCTCAACCCGCCCAATCTCAGCCTTCCATGTAGCCTGGAAGTACAGGTGTGCCACTGTGCCCAGCTAAGGAGTTTTTCTTATTTTATTTTATTTGTAGTACTAGGGATTGAATTCAGCACCTCAACCTTGTATGATGGTGGTCTAATATTAAGCCATACATCAGATCTGTCTTTGGCTAATTTATTTTGGAGCCAGAGTCTCAGTAAACTATTCTGTTCAGACTTAGCTGGAACTATGATCCTGCAGGTTCAGCCTCCAAGTAGCTAGTATAATGTATATGAACCATAGGTACCTGGCTAAAGTTTCAGTTTTGAAAAACAGAATCAGACAGAAACCCAAAGATTGTCAAGGTAGTTTGTCAACTGTACATAAATAAAAGGACACTACATTTTTGACAGTATTAGAAATTGAATTCAGGGGCCAGGCACTGGTGGCTCACGCCTGTAATCTTAGCTAGGAGGGTGAGATCTGAGGATCATGGTTCAAAGCCAACCTGGGCAGGAAACTCGGTGAGACCTTTTTTTTTTTGGTCAGTCGTGGAGCTTTAACTCTGGGTCTGGGCACTGTCCCTTCAGCTCAAGGCTAGTGCTCTACCACTAGAACCACAGTGCCACTTCCAGCTTTTTCTGCTTATGTAGTGCTGAGGAATCGAACCCAGGGCCTCATGCATGCAAAGAGCAAGCATTCTACCATTGAGCCACCTTTCCAGCCCTCTGGGAGACTGCTATCTCCAATAAACCACCAGAAAACCAGAGTGGTGCTGTGGCTCAAGTGGTAGAGTGTTCGCCTTGAGCTAAGGGACAGCATCTAGGCCCAGAGTTCAAGCCCCATGACCAACCAAAAAGAAAGAAAGAAGGAAGGAGAAAAGAAAAAAGAAATTTAGCTCAGGGCCTCACACTTCCAAGGCAAGCACTCTATCACCTGAACGACTTCTCCAGCCCCTTTTCGTATTGATTGTTTTCAAGTGAGGGTTTTACCTAATTCTCAGCTGATTAGGGCTTCAATTCTACTTGGGTTTCCCTGTGTTGCTGGATTTGATATACACACTCCATCATGTTCAGCCATAGTTGAAGCAAAGTGTCTGGTAAACTTTTATGGCAGGTTTGGCCTCCAAGCTCTACCCCCAATCTGGACCTCACAATTACTAAGATTATAAGCTTAAACACAGGCTGGTGAGACATGAATTTTCATATAAGCCATAAAATCGACATAAGACATA